CAGGCCTCGCTTGTTACGGAGGACTAACTCGGACTAGACTAATTTTAGAGACTAAACTAAATTTGTTTGGCATGAACTAAGCAACATAAGAATATTAAAGTGTTTGGTGTAGTGTTGAACTAAACTACAGACTATATTATTTTTACCTTTTAGGACTTTTTATTTTTCCAAGTACAACGATATTTTTACACTAAGGGGAGATGGAGTTTAGCTAAGCCACAATGGGTAGCCTAGTTTGGTATTGAATTTGTTATCCACGAGATTCGAACCTAAGATCTCTCACTTATAAGCGAAGAGGAATACCACCATACTGTAGTACTGAGTGGCAAAATATTTTTAGAACTTAGATTTACTTTTTATATATTTTTAATTTTTCTGTCTTAAAAAAACAAAAAACAAAAATATAATAATTTATCAACCCCGCCATTTTCATTCCGTTAATCTCTAGATGAGATTTTGTCTTTCTGGTTAGACTTAGGGTGGTTTGGTATGGGATCCCAATCCGAAAATGGGATCTCGAATTCCAAACCGAAAATTTTTGAGACAGAAATTTGAAGACCAATCTCAAAACAAAATTTCAGTATTCCCAATTTTTGGGAATCCCGAAATATTTTTGCTATTTCGGTTTGGTATTCGCAAATTTCATACAAATTGAAATGGCAATCATTCATACCAAGTTAAATTAACATGCAACCAAAATAAAATAAGTAACAAACCCAAAAACAAAAAAAATAAGTTAAAAAACCTAATACGTTCGAAAACTAACAATACAATTTTTTGATTTCGTGTTGAAGAAATAGACACATTTGTGGGAGGTTCGTACTGGCAAATGTGGCAATAAAGGGCTATGCTTACTACCTGAGACTACACCAATTATATTGCTACTAGTAGTTAGCAACAATTCAAATGTATAATACCAATTATTTACTTTCGGTTCGGTATGGGATTACCGAAATATTGAGTAGACAATACCGAATCCTGTACCGAAATTTTGGGATCAGTTCGGTATTTCATCCCAAAAATTTCAGGAATTTTGGTTTTGGATCGGGATTTTCAGGAATTTTTTCTAGCCCTAGTCGGACTAAAATTGTCTTATCTTTCTCTCCTTTTTTACATCTTCTTGCAAACTCCATGATTGTCTGCAAATCTTCAACCCCAAAACCATTGGGAAAAAAATGATTAAAATTTTTGGAGAGTGGGCTTAGTGCAGGCGTCGGGAGATGGAGATGAGGCAACAAGTCGCTCAGGCCCGTTTGATTCAGTTTCGTTATAGAGGGAAATCTGGGTTGTGGGTTCGTCAATCTCATAAGAGAGAGAGAGAAATCAATTTGAAGTTAAAGAGGGGGTTGGGGTCGCGAGACGATGTAGATCCACGAGAGCCATTTTTTATTTGGTGAATGGAGAAGGGGGCTGTTGTTGCTTATCTACGAAGGAGAAAGCAAGATTAGAAAGGTTCTTAGCAATCCCATGCTTAAGGACGGGATTGCTAATACCCTTCTAGCGAGGCCGCTAGTGAAAATGAGTCAGGATTTACCGCTAATAATTACGTTACCAACCGTGGGATTCTAGTCCCAGTTAAGACAGTTCCTCTTAAGACGGTGTAACAAATGGGGCTTTAGACTCATAATATAGATTAATACAAAATATCAATTGTAATAGGAAAAAAATTAATGTTATCACAAATTTAAAGAAGGAAGGATATCATCCAATAATAACAATCACTAGCCTTCATGCACGCGTATTTTTTGAATCACGGTGTGCTACGTGCGACTACACATTTTTTGAATCACATTATTGCTAGCCTATTGTGAGGCTAAACTCACCCACCTCCTCCTTAGTGTAGATAATATTGTTTGTTAAAAAAAATAAACAATCATTTGACAACTAATTGAATCACATTACTAGGCGCGTATGAAAGACTTTTTTTTATAACCGGCACTATGTGCCTCTTAAGATATTTTGAACGTGTTTAAAAATAAAGAAAATAATATTTAATAAACAACTAATTGAATCACATTATTGCTAGCCCATTGTGAGGTACTAATTATAAAAATAAAAAAAATAAAAAAACTGTACAAAAAAAAATAATTATAAAAAACATTGTTTATATGACGAAAATATCCTACATTATTTTGGGATGCTTTTGAACTTTTTTGTTTGCGAGGCATTTTTGTCTTATTATTTTTTTTGAAGCCCGTGATCCCAAATGGGCTTCCGGTTTTAAATAGTAGTGTATATTATTATCTGGAAAGAAAAAAAAAATATAATTTTATATCATGATAAGTTTGTTAGGTTTTGCATTTCCTTTTGTTTTTTTTTTGTTTTTTTTGTAAATAATCATGTTGTATTTGTTAAGTTAATAATTTGGGAAATTGTGCCACTCAGTACTACGGTCTGGTCGTATTTCTCTTCATTTGGAAGTGAGAGGTCTTAAGTTTGAATCTCGTGGATAGCAAATTTATTACCAAATTAGGTTGCTCATTGTGTAGCTTAGCTAAACTCCCCCTCCTCTAGTGTAAAAATATCGATGTACTAAAAAAATAATAATAATAATTTGGGAAATGGTACATGATACATTTATTCTATGATAAATTTATACTACCATGTCATGAGATTTTTTATTATTTATTTTCAATAAAATTATATATTTATACTAACTGATGAAAAACTTATGTCAGTATACCATGAGAGCTAAAAGAGTTTACTTATAAAAGGAGAAGTTTAAGGGCGTGCAAGATTGAAAAATGAGAGAGTGCATGTGAGTGATTTACTAAATTATCTTTAAACCTATATTTTCATTAAACTTATTAAACTTATGAAGGAAATAAGAGTTAATTTTACTCTTTTTGGTTCTCTAATAATTGTATAAAATAAGCTGGCAAATGTGTTTTATTTTGAGAAGTTCTTCAGTGTGACCACCTTAGCGAGGGTTGGTTAGAAGTGGTTTTCGAATATGAAATGACTTTTATGCATTCTTTTCTCTCTTTATGCGCACTTTTAAGGGTTGTTTAATAATATTTTGACTATTTTTTTTTTACTTTTATATTAAATTGAAAACTAAAATCATATTTGGTTACTTCTAATTTTTATTTATAAAAAAAATTGAAAACAAAAAGCTACTTCTTTAAGTTTTCAAATTTACCCTTAAATTTTCACTTTTTAATTTTCAGTTTTCATTTTTTTTAAATTAAAAATTGAAAGTAGCTAAGATTTCAATTTTCCGTTTAAAAAAAATTGAAATCTAAAAATTGACGAAATGGTTATCAAACAACCTTTTCTTTAGGTATCCCTTGTTTATTTAATCAAATGCTATAAATAAACGAGAGTATGATAAAATCATCTTCCTTTATAATAACTAAATAAATTTTTAACATAACAAACAAATTTTTTTTGACAATATTTAGAAGTACTTCTGAATTGTAAAAGCACTTGTGTGGACACAAATTTCCACCTTCTTCTCCTTTAAAGAAAATGCACATTCAAAACAATAACACCTAAGATCAAGGCCAAGAGCCTCACACGCCAACGATGAATGGAGGGAGGGGCGGGCTTTGGCCGAAGAGTCTCCGATGCCAAAATTAGAATTTTAGAGAGAAAGTGTTTAGAGAATTTTTGGGAGAAAATGAACTTAGGTTTTTGGAGAAATGTGAGGCTATATATAGGGGTGTGGCGGCCCTATTTGGAGAAATAGGGACCTGCCACTTATGGTGGAATTTTGGCTCTAATTGCAAGATACTATGTCAAATAATATCGTGCAATTAATTTGGCAAGTAATCCTAATTTGAAAAGAATAATTAGGAGTTACCTTGTGGGTGAAGATTTGATGAGGAGTAATGAGAGGGTTTTGAACAAATATCATTTTGATCACATTTGACCTCGATTGAGCTGTTATTGTCCGTTGCATGCGCATGAGAATCTTGGTGTGCCTCAAGCGTAATGATTTTTTTTTACCCAAAAGTTTATGTGTCGCCTCCATAATTTTCTTGATTATTTTTTGCTCCACAACTTGTATCTACAAGCAATTAAATTTTTATTGTATCTTTTTGTTTCTCTAATATTCTATATTAGATCTGTGACATATTATTGTTTGTCCATATTAAACACCACGCGATGGTGCACCTATCACACCACACAAAATTTCGTTTCATTAACTTCTCCTTCTTTGAAAATCTTTCAATAATTTGTGCTTTTTAGAAAATCTTCAGTTGTGTCACGAATTAATGATATTCGTCACGCAAGCTCTTCAAATATACATTTTATATGCCATGAGTTTCCCATCAAATTATTATGGTAGACAACTGATCTGGACTGATTCCAGTGCAAGCAAACAGAAATTATTGTGACCATCTTCATAAATGCGTTTTGTTGGAAATTGAATATCAAAGTTTCGTAACAAGTTGGACACACTCATGCACAAATTGACAATGAGATTGACTCGCCGAATCACGGGTCATCGACTCACCACTCACCTAATCTACTGCACCCATGGATAATAACCATGCAGTCACACGTGCAATGGACAGCGTTATTTGCATATTCATTTTTAATTTTTGGTCATTGATCTTTTTCAATTCATTTAAATTGACGGCCGATAATTGAGGAGTATGTAAGAAGTAGAATTAAGTATGTGGATAGCACTACCCTATATAATTGGTTTGAGAAGGCCATTAAATGTAGCTCAACCCGAGTTCAAAACCTCTTTGGATCTGTGTATTTGGAGCCAATTGACCAAAGAATTAGGACTATTTAAGAGAGCGACACCGTTCAGAGACTTGGTTTTGTGTAAAGCGGACCAATGAAATATGCTAATTATTGAGAGCTGCATAATTTAAATTGAGTGGTCAAGTTTCTTTGGTCCATCGGCCCCGAACACAAATTTGAAAAGGATGTACACTTCCCTCCCGAATCACAATCAATGTGAAGTACAAAATGGTAGCTTTGAATTAAATTGAATTAAATTGTGTGGGGGACTGGTGTTAATTCTTTTTTCCTCTGGAAAATGGCAATGTTTCACGTCATCACTTTGCAGTTTCCATATTTCTATCTATTTGCTATAAATTTATGAACAACTTAGCTATATACCTCTCTCCAGTCTCCATCCTGCAGATCGAACTCGAACTCGAAATTAGAGAGAGAGAGAGAGAGAGAGAGAGAGAGAGAGAGAGAGAGAGATGAGTGCTGCTGTGGTTTTGATGAACTCTGCTGATAACGTAATGGACTTGAAGGAGTTAGAAACCCTAAAAGTAGAAGAAGATGAACAAGTAAAAGCTGCAGCAGCAGAAGTAGTAGCAGCATCGCATGCAGACGACACGGAGTTGGAGGAGCTGAGAAAAACTCGTCTCATGAGAGTATTTGTCGAAGCCCAGGATCCTTCCACCAAGGTCAGAGAGAGACTGATCATAATCTTATTATATTTCTTCCTAGTTCTAACCCTAACCTTAATCATTTCGTTAATTAATTACTAAAGATGATTATATATGCTTGTTTATTCTTAGTTATCTTTATTTCTTTTGTCTGAAGAAATTGTGGGGAGTTGTCTTAATGTCTGAGTTTCGATCTTCTTTTATCTTTGAGGCCTAGGGGATTTCATAAAATACTAACATGGTCATCTTTGACTGTCATTTTTTACAATAATATTTTACATTAAAGAACAGATGTTTAAACAATAGAGGCATCATAGCAAAACGGTGTCGAAGTCAAAATCTCTCACTTATAAGTAATGAATACTCACAAACCCTAAGTAGTCATGGCATCTAGTGATGTGTGACAACACTCACAAACCCTAGTAGTCATGGCATCTAGTGATGTGTGACATTTTTCTCTAGTTCTCCATTATTTACGTTTGCCCTTTTATACCTAGGAAAAGATTGTTTGGTCAGTACTAATCGAGCCATCATAGCAAAACGGTGTTGAACTCAAGATCTCTCACTTATAAGTAATTGATACTCACAGACCCTAGTAGTCATGGCACCTAGTGATGCGAGACATTTTTCTCTAGTTCTCCATTATTTATGTTTGCCCTTTTATACCTAGGAAAAGATTATTTAAACGTATCTAGTATGATGCGTTTAAAAAAAAATTGCAACATCCTCTTATCATTGATCAAGAATCTTGTACAACAGTAATATCGGTTGATGGTGTTATAATCATAAAAATTTCTCCTAAGCCAGCAGGAACTGTCATAAATTTTGAAATTAACAATGACAAAAACTTGTCCACATCGGAGATGTAACATTATTGACATTCATAGGATAAAATCTATCATTCTTCTTGTAACATTATTGCAAAAATAGAAAAAGAAAAGCACTAAATCGTTTTCCTTCCAAATCATATTTACTTACCATGGGAGATGTTAATAGAGCTAATCTAGATCCCAAGCACGTGCCAAAGCTCTCAATCGTTGAAGGTGATGATATACCGTTGATTGATTTGTCTCCTATGAACATGTTAGGAAACATTCCTGAGCCAAAAGGTATCAAGGGGCTTGTTAAAAAGTTAGGCAACACATGTAGAGACTGGGAATTGTGCAAAGTGATCAAATAAGGAGTATAATTGGATAAGCTGTAAAAGACTGAGATTGTTTCGAGCGAGTTTTTTTTATCTGCTTTTCGAGGATAGAAGGAAGATTTGGAAAGATGAGCATACCAAGAATGTGAGAGACTGGAAGGAGTTTGATTTCAATGGAAATAGTAGAAAACAATGAAAAAAATTTCTTTACAAATTTACTTGAATTTCCAATACCATACATAAAGTGACTGTAGGGAGGGAATAAAAAAAATGTTAAAATTTTTGGTGGATGCAAAAGTTATACATCATAAACTTTTTCAAAGATGTACTGAGAATGTATAGCACAGCAAAAATAAACTCATGCAGAAATTATACACTGCAAATTTCATTGAAGATAATGTTTGGTTTCAATATTACTCTGAAGACAATTTATCGAAAAAAATCTGGAATAGTGTGATCAAAATTTACCTTAACACTGCTATTATGAAAATTGGCATGTTGGAGACTTTTTGGTTCAACCTGAATGGAAAAATCAACAAAATTTCAAATGGAAACAGTCAGTATTCTCAAACCTGAAATTGAATCATCATAAATTGAATTTAGTGGAAGCTGTTTATTTTATAACTGATATGCTTGCAAAGAACATTGTTACTAAAGAAGAAAATTATTGTAGAATTAAACAGTTCTTATATCAAAATGAAAGAAAAGTACCTATGCGGTTGTTTATAATGAGCATGGGTAAAGCATTCGCAACTTTATTGATATTTACCTTGGCTGTGAAAGTGTAACTTTCCAAATGCACTGAAATAAGTTGTTGGAATTTGAAAAAAAAAAAAATTCAAATAATATAGAATACGAACCTGCAAAATAAATGAGCATATCTTAGAACTTTAATCACGAAAACACAAAATTATATACATGTCTTTCAATTGGGGTAGCAAAAGTTTACAACTGAGATTTCAATTTAGGCATTCTATATCATTGTGGATCATTGCTCTCTCAGTTTGTGAAATCTAAATCAATCAAAAGAAACGAAAAATATCAAATAGTTTATTGACTTTTTTCAATTTGAACCATATGATGCTAGATTGAATGGGAAAAAGAAGGGAAAACACTGAGCTTATGATAAAACTTTAATTAGTAGAACAAAGTCGTTGACATTATGAATTTATAAATTAAATATACACGCAGATGAATGGTGACGGACGAGTGGCCAATATGGGCAAAACCGACTATTTACTATAGAAAAGAGGAAATAGCTGGGCAAGCATAGAAGAAACCGAGGGGCAAATTCATCCGTCCATTGGTCATCAACAGTACCCCAAAACTGGGTTTTAGTATATAGGATATCAATATAGAAAACAGAGGTCTCTTATGCTGTGAATTTCAAAACTGTATAGAACATGTAAGATTTGTATATATATATATATATATATATATATATATATATATTATATATATATACACACATACAGAGAGCTTAAGGGGAGGGATCCCCATTTTTTGAAAAAAATGGGGATTAGGTGTGGGGCCCACTTCACATCAAATTTCAACGATCCGAACCGCCTATTTTGTTAGTCTCGATTCATAGATCATCCTTGCAAAAATTCAATTCAATCCGAAACCATTTGCCTATTTAATTATCAATATCAAATTTCTTATTTTCTTATATAACAAAGTATTCGTTCATTTCCTTGAACCCAATTAGATGTCTTAAACATTTCCAATTTAGCTAATATTTTGCAAGGATGATCTATGAATCGAAACTAACAAAATAGACGGTTCGGATCGTTGAAATTAGATGTGAAGTGGGCCCCACACCTAATCCCCATTTTTTTCAAAAAATGGGGATCCCTCCCCTTAAGCTCTCTGTGTGTGTATATATATATATATATAATAGCGATACTATTTACGTAGGAAGGAAATTAGTCCTTTTGTTCTGAATCAAGATCACTAATTCCAAAATACAATTGCAAGAACCATTTCCCTATAGTTGGACATCAAGAAGACCACTAATTCTGAAATACAGATTAAATTTCTCTCCATGTTAAAAAAGCAAGTAAGCAGAGAGACAAAGGATGTTGTTTCTATTACCAGTAGGATTAGCTTGTAAAGACTTGTCCACCGTGTTCTAAATATTGGTCTCCACTGTAACCACCTTTGAGAACTTTTCTGTAGATAATTCCGTTGTAAAAAGAAATCCGTGTTAGAATGCACTTCTATTTATAACACGTTTAATACTTTTTAGTGGACCATGATCAGGATTTTAATGTTGTATGTCAATATATAAAATAGAACAAAGCCACTAACAATCTAAAAATATCATATAATTGATAGCGGTATGAACTTTTGGTAGATAATTTGTAATCAGATTGCAAAATATTGGGATGTCTAGTTCCTGCAGGAGTGTGTTATCCTTAGCAGAGAGGATACTTTTTGATATTTTGTAATTGCCCAGATGAAATCATGGCTAATGCCTCACACATTTGTCATAAAAAAAATAAAAAAAAATCTTAAACACAAAGATTCATCATTATAGCCTAAATTAACATCGCATTATCAAATCAGAACAGACAAAGGTACTCAAACTCAAGTGTCCCACATGCTGACATCCAACAAACAAATCAAGACAAAAGATGCATAAAAGGTATTTAACCAACCTACTCTTTTCAAATGGAATTTGGTGTCTGAAAATGAGAAATTCAAAAACTTTGCAGCAGAAATTAAAAAAACAAAAAACAAAAACCAAACACTTACTATGTATTATCACTTTAATTCTAATTGTCACTTCAAGCTCCCTAGCTTTTGACGCATCATGATCATACTCATAAAGCCCTGACATGAAACCAAAATCATTACTTTGACAAATAAACATAACCAACAACAAAAACAAATAAATTTTTCAAAAGGATTATGCCAAAAATTACCAGCCGAGCTACTGAAGACCATGATATCAAGTCAGAAAACTGATTTGCACTGCTCCAACGAAGACTCAAGAAGGCCCAAAGTGTCAAGGAATAAGGTGCAGTGATAGTATTATCCTTATTGAATACAATTATATAACACAAATGTATGTGCTGCACTTGAGGCATTGTAAATTTGTGAAGCATAGCTTTGCAAGATACGTTTTTCGAAGTCAAGCCTATGCATATGAACATAAAACGTTAAACACATTTTTCCATTAGTGTCTTAAGCAAATTTTAGATACATATTGAGATCTCTATAATTGACAGAGGCTTGGAGCTTGTGAAAGTCACATTTTCCATTGATTGAATATCATAAACCACAATTTTATTTAATTAACCAAGAAGGAAAAACAATCAATAACGGATATTATACCTTCCTCTCCTTCTACCTCGCAGCCAATTGCCTATTAGCTAAAATCCTACAAAACCAAGATGAGTTTAAGCAAAACTCGGATCAAGATTCTAATTTATGAAGAATGATATTAATCAGAAATTAACAATAAAATTAAAAAAATTAAAAAATTGAAATTTTCATACCTTTAAGTTTCAAGGTTTTTACTATGGAATTCAAGCAAACCCATCAGATTCTAAGTGGGTTTATCAAAAATAATAATTTAATCAGAAATTAACACGGTAAAAAAAAAAAAAAAAACTAATGAAAAAAGTTTGAAACTTTGAATTTTAACTATAAGGACAAAATAAAAGGTAAAATAAATAGTACTATATTTGACTTTTTAATGTAAAAATATGATTTTTCGTTAAAGTGATGATTACCACAGCTCTTCTTAAAACTCCAAAAGTAAAATTTGAAATTTTCGTACATCTAAATTTTTGGGTGTTTACTGTGAATCTAATTGAGAACTAAGGGCGCAGATTGCGAGAGGAGAAGACGAAGAGGGAGGAAGCACGGGTTTGTTTTGGCGATGAATGGGAAAAGCACGTCAATTTCCAAAAAAAAAAGGAAAATCTAATGATCAAATTCGAGAATTATTCAATCTCACAACAATTTTAAGCCAATCAGTTACGCACCAAATCAAATTTTATGAAATTCTAGCAAAATACAACCCCAATAGAACACAAATGGACCATAAAAAAATACGAAATATCAACAACCAAATTCGATAAAGTAACAAACCACAGCGAAAAATCAAATATTTGGCTTCTGGGTAGTTGAGAAGAAGTGAGATTTAATTACCTCTTGAAGGCCGGGTACAGGATGAGGGGGCGAGAAGATCGTAAAGCAGAGATCGAAAAGATAAGGAAGCAGGGATCGGAAGGATCACGAAACAGCGATGGAAGAGATCGATGCGGAGTGTAGGACGCATGATCGAAATCGCCAACCCGTTGCAGAGCAGCTGAGAATTCTGTTGTTTAACTGTGCAACAAAGAGAAAAAACGCCTGATGGAAAACCAAACGGAGGGCATTTTCGTCATCGGAGGTCATTTTCGTCCGCGCATTGTCCGTAAACAGTGCAAGCTGGTTTGGGTTTTAGTATAAGAATAATTTGGTAATAAATAATAGGTGCTTTTAGATTTTAAGATTGTTTTTAGATTTTAACTTGAATGGTTTTCAAAATGTAATATAAGTCCATATTTTTAAAATTTACCACATTTAAGTAATTAGAGTACATTTATTATTTATTAACTTACCATTCGAAATTCTTTACGCACCCATAATTAATGTGTTTTTTTTGTGCTCCAATCATATATATTAATAGATAAAACTTGATTCAAAATTCAAATTCTTATTATTAAAATAAATTCAACACCAAAACAAAAACAATTTATACATAACTTCTGGTACCTTATTTTATTCACAGGTACGGAAGTATCGGTACATGGTACGAATGTATAGGTACATAACTTTAGGTATCTTATTTTATTCATAGTTATGGAAGTATCGGTACGAATGTATAAGTATATAACTTTAGGTATCTTATTTTACTCATAGGTACAAAAGTATCGGTCCATAAGTGTCGATACGAATGTATTGGTACATAACTTTCAGTACAATGTATTGGTAAAAATGTGTCGGTACGTAGCTATAGTATTTAAACATACATATGTACGTAATATGCATATACATATATATGGAGAAATTCATGCACAATGAAAAATATATGATAACATATGACTTTTCTTATTATGAGAACTTAATAATAACTATCAATGATAAATAACATTTTTATTATTTATGGGAATTAATATATAATTTACAAACAAAATACACAATAATAATTACAACCTATTTAATTAATATTAAAAAATTACAATTAAATGCCAAGGATTAGAATTAGTTTTTAATCTTAGATAAGGATTAAAATTACAGGAACAATTTATGTGTATTCGTAATTATTTTTTTCAATGTCATAATTTAACTATTTTAATTACAAGTGTGATGCGAACTTGGGTGAAGAAGGTCCGCCCACCACTTCGGTCAACTTACCTAACTCCCATTTGCTATATGCTCAGTTAAACCCAGTCAAGTATTCAAAGTTGTTATGTTATAAGCATTCACAACAAACCCTACTTTTGACCAAACCCTAGAGCGTTGGCACTCATGGAATTTGAGCCTCTCTACCAACCGGAGTTCGGTGTGTGAGAGATTCATCATGCATTGCATCATTGACAGTTTTGAAGAAGCTAACTCCAGCGTAATCAACCGTTATAGATTCGAAATCATACTCTAAAAAAATGGGGCTACGAGATTGGAACTCGTGTGTACTTCTCAGTATATCCACTAGCTAGATATTTATAAATTAGATAGACGTCAGATATTGTCTGAGATGGAGTGCAAGGAAACCATGAAACATGAAGCAGAAGAAGCAGTGACATTGACGAGGATCCGTCGTGTGAGAGAATTTGTTGAAGGCAAGGATCCATCCTACAAGGTGCTGTCTTGCACATTTTGTAATTAATAAAAAGGGAGACTTTGGATGCGGTCCCTAGTTATGAACAATCTTTGACTGAAACCTTATTGGTTTTCAATTTTTGATCCAAGTCCCTAAAATTAATTGATAATTTATTTCTATGTACGTTACTATATTTTTTAAATTAAAAATTAAAATTTATAGTTGTTTATAGTAATGAGATTTTAAATAAAAAACCATAATTTGTGGGATTAAAAATATTAAAATATAAATATACTATTGTGTGTGTGTGTAAACATGGGTACATTCATAAAAATAACCAAAAAATTATTGTATCAAAACATGGGTACATTCTTCAAAATGGGTACATTTAGCAAAAATAAAAATGGGTACAAATAAATAAAAAAATATGGGTACAATACAAATAAAACTTTAAAAAATATGGGCACAAAAAGAATTTAATATATGGGTACAAATTAAAACTGAAAAGAAAATTGGTACAAATTAAAAAAGGGTTGCAAATTAAAAATGGGTACAAACTAAAAATAAAAATATATGATAAAAAATTTAGCCATAAGTATAAATATACTAATTGTAACATTTTTAATATTAAATGAATATATTTAGAAATAAAAAATATTTTATTATTGAAATAATTAATGATATTATTAATAGAAAGGACCTTGATCAAAAATTGAAAAGTAATAAGGTTTTAATCAATAGAATAGTAAAAATAAGGATGAAAACCTAATTACTCCTAATAAAAATCACTAAATCTTGCGAAAATTAGTGAAAACAGTTGTTCTAATTTCAAAAATGTAATTAATATGTATAGATCATTTTCAGGTTATTAAGTAATCGATTTGCAAGATAATCACTTTTCACATTAAGCTTAGGTACAAAACCAAGAATGAAAGCAACGGTAAATTATAGTAATAATGCTTTTAATTGGAAGGGAAGGATGGCCTGATTTTACTTGAACCATGCCATGCTTTCTTTGCCTGCGTTGATCTTCCCTCATTGATCTTGTATTTTGTTGAGCAGAATCTAGCTATGCCTGCATCAAATTCTGATATTTTGGAATTTGGTGTGTAATTGTGCAGGAGGTGGATGATCTCACAATAAGGAGGTTCCTGCGTGCTCGCGATTTGGATATAGAGCAGGCAGCTGCAATGTTCCTCAAGTACATGAAATGGAGACGCGATTTTGTTCCTAAAGGTTCTATTTGTACTTCTGAGATTCCAAATCAAATTGTTCAGAACAAGATGTTTTTACAGGGATCGGACAAGAAAGGATGCCCCATATCAGTTATCCTTGGTTATAGACATTTTCAAGACAGCCTCAAGGAATTCAAGCGTACGTTTTTACTTTTTTTTTTCCGAAACCTTCACGATAAGTAACATTTCCTATGGCTGAAATGAAATCTGATAAGTCTTTCAAATCTAAAAGTCATATATTTTTGTATGTACAGGTTATGTAGTCTATGGACTCGACAAGATATGTGCAAAGTGAGTTTTTCTGTCACTCAACCGTGTTCCTAAGCGATTTATTTTCTTTTTGCCAATGCAAAGCTATTTAATGTAAGAGCGCAAGGATATATAACGTACCAAACATGTATAGTCCATAGATGATATGTTTTATGTGCTGAATTGAACTTCATGTGTCAGGATTCCGCCAGGACAGAAGTTCATTGCCATAGGAGATCTCGAAGGCTGGGGATATTCAAACAGTGACGTCCGAGGTTACCTTGGAGCTCTTTCAATTTTGCAGGTATCTGTTCTGCTGCTTAGCATTACTTTCTATGTACATATAAGATTAAACAAACTTGCTAGTCAGATAATATATAAATTTCTTCTACAGCAAAAGTAAAAGCAAAAAAAAAAAAAAAAAAAAAACAAGAAGGATACAAACTGTTTACTAATCGTTGCAGGACTACTATCCGGAAAGGCTAGGGAAGGTGTACATCGTCCATGCTCCTCTCATATTCATGACGGTTTGGAAAATCGTTTACCCTTTTATCGACAACAAAACTAAGAAGAAGGTAAATTATCAATCTGCACAAGATGCTATGCAGCATTAGTGTATACAGCACTTCATACTTCAGAATTCAGATCATCTCGCCTCTCTGTGCAGATAGTATTCGTCGAAAACAAAATGCTGAAATCAACTCTGCTCGAAGAGATTGATGAGAGCCAGCTTCCGGAGATATATGGAGGCAAACTGCCTTTGGTTCCCATCTAGGGTGACAAATTGATCAACCATGCCAAGAGGAAAAATGAACAGATTAAAGCTCATGTCTAATTAAGTTTGCAATATGTATGTTATAATATGTAACTATGCTGTACCACTGTTTGGACCAGATTTTACTTCATCGGCTCGAGTAATCAAGGCTGTTGAATGGGCTGAGTTCTAGACCATTGGATGACAAATTGGTTGAGATAATTCTCAATGTTATTAAAGGATAATATTATGATTTTAATCATAATGATTATCTCTTAATAGTATTAAATTATTTAGACTTACCATTATCTGGAACACAACTGGATGATAAAGCCGTAGCATATGATAATGCCGTAGCATATGATAATGCTCAATAAAATAAATATTGCAATTGATGAGCAATTAACGTGGCATTGCATGGCTGCACCTGTACAAATGAGTGGAAAAGGGAGTCTTTTGTTTAGATTAGGCTACCAAGGAAGGGAAAAGCACAACATGGGCTAAAGTGCTCAGACTTTGGTAATGCATGCACTTGGACGTGAATATGGGTTTAAACATTGCATGGTTATTTAGGATGCTATGGAAAGAGTTCTGTGTGCTTGTAAATTAATCTGATTGCATGGTTATTATAAGTGGACGACAATCATCAAAGTGTGGCTTTGCTCCCTTGGAAAAATACTCCTAGGAATATTATTTATTTCGATTGGTAGTTCAAGTCACGGCGATAACTTCACAGCGTGTTCATCAAGGCACGTCCCTATAAATACAAAGCAGCAGACGACATTTTGGGACCACCTCCAACTCAACACATAAACTGCCCTACGCAAACCCTCGCTCTACGCGAAACCTCTCAAACATCTTGAGATTTTTTTATTTTCTTTTTCCGCCGACACATCTTCAGTTTGGATAAACAGCATTATGAAGGCAACCGGCGAACACCTTCAGTTTGGATAAACAGCACTGTTGCCGTAGAGTCAGCCGACCGCGAAGTACCTTCAGTTTGGATAAACAGCACTGCGACGAGGTCGACTGGCTATCTATCCAAGTCTCGGTCGAGAAGGATTTTCAAATCCTTATTGGCAGAGGTCATCTCATTAGTCTTCTCGGCGAAGTGAGGTGTTAGGTTACTACATTCGGCACCCTGAGAACCGAATTTGATATTGAACTTCGCAAAACTAGCAGCCTTGTTTTCAGGCTCTAGAACCCGAAGGCCGAGAATGTTCCTTCCTCGGCCGCAGTTGCGAGATTCAGAAGTCGGCAGCGCACCCAACGCAACATCAACATATTTTACTCATCGGCCGACAAGTTGGCACGCCCGCACATAACCGAATGACGTAGTTAGCTTACTAATTACTCGGCTTGCGCGCCACGTATTCTTGGTAGTTTTTAAGATCAACATTTTGGCACGCCCAGTGGGACCCAGTGCTAAAACTACGAAGTTCACATGATAGATCAAGATTTCAATCAGGTTCCATTGGAAATTTGGCACCAAGTAAAGCATTGCTACAAGAAGAAAGCAAAACTCATTGAGAAGTTGTCTAAAAGATGAGGGCAATTTTCCGCTCCAACAACAATCAAAATTCGGCCTAAGAAAATTGTCAAGATGGCCGAAGAAGAACGTAGGCCACTTGTTTGTTCGGTCAAGACTAAAAGTGTGGTAGGCCTAGAAGAAAAAGTTCAAGATTTTGAGCCAGAAATTGACTCAGAAAATGATTCGTCAGAGGAGTGTTCCAATGACGAATAAGACCAATACACGACTTCAAACCATAAAATCACATCGATTGATATGGTAATTGAAGACATAGGCCTAGCCGGAAAAATCACGCCAATTGATATAATTATTGGTGATAAAGCCGATATGGAGAAATCCCGTTCGGCTAAGTTGTTCGAGTTAAAAGCTGAAATTGGCAAAATTATTATGCATGGGGGGCATAATAATTGTTCAACACATGGCAGCCGATGATAAAGAATCTTTCATCAAGCCGAACATGTTTGCAGATGATCTTTTATTCGGCTTTGGAAAAACTCAAAGTGAAAACTTTGATGTAAAAAGATCTCGGCTTGGAATAAGTATCGTTGGCCTCCTCCTGATTATGATTCAGCCGTTTTTATTTATTTTTTTGTTAAAAAAAAAAGATGAATAAAATATTTTCTTAACCATTCGGCTTTTAAGCCGATACTTAAGAAAATTGGGGGTAACGAGCGGTATACTCCAGTAGATGGAATCAAATAGAAAAAGGCCACCCTTATGAGATGGTAGGCCTTTAAGTGGCTTTAAGAGCAATTCCACCCCAGTGGAAATTGCCCAGCACCAAGTCCAAAAAACAGCCCAGCCCCTTGTCAAGTTGCTCCAGCCCGCGAAAGAGCCTGGGACACAGCCCAAGCTGGGCAACGGGCCAGCCTATTTCGGACAGACCCAGAGACCGGCCTGTTTAGAAGGCGCGTGCAGCACAAGCGCGCAGAAGCGCGAGTAGGGAACCGGGTTGCAGGCGGGGGGGGGCCCGCTTGTCAGCCCACTTGTGGAGAACCCGGAATAGGGGCTACGTGGCCCTCCTCAGTGCCGTTGGATTTCCAACGGCTAGTTTTCTAGACCGTTGGATTTCCAACGGTAAAAAAAATTTAAATTTTACTTTTAACATGGACCGTCAGATCAAAAATCAATGGTCCACGTTCTTTTTACAAAAAAGTAAAAAAAAAAAAAAAAAAAAAAAAGGCCCCAACGGTCAGAAATATGACCGTTGGCCACGTGGCAAGTCCCTGGCTCTTGGATTTGAATATTTTTCAAATCCAACGGTCCAGATTAATTAACTATATTAAAATTCATTAAAAAATATTAAAAAATACAGAAAAATTATTAAAAAATACAGAAAATTTTTAAAAAAATACAGAAATAATTGAAAAATGTTATTTTTTTTTCCTATAAATACCTAACCCTCATCTTTCACCTTTACACCACATTTCAATTATCGAAATCTTATCGAAATCTTGGCTAAATTATTGTACCACGGAAGTGACACGTGGCGTGTCGGGATTGGTTGAAAATAATATCGGAAATCTATTCACAAAATAGTACGTTCAGATAATGACACGTGGCGTGACGAGATTAAAACTATTTTATTTTTTTATTCTTTATTTTAAATGGGTTAAAAATCTTATCCGAAATAAACTTAAAAAAAAAACACACCAAATAAATGCGCTGGGTGCCAGCGCATTTTTTTAGGGGTGGAGATACCTTGGCCTATTACTGTTCACTCCAGTCTATTACTGTTCATTTGAGTGGATAAATGCGCTGGGTGCTGGCGCAAAGTCCACAGGGGTGGAATTGCTCTAATATTTCCATGGGGTGAATCCATAACAATTTTCTGGTATACTCCAGTAGATGGAATCAAATAGAAAAAGGCCACCCTTATGAGATGGTAGGCCTTTAAATGGCTTTAATATTTCCATGGGGTGAATCCAGAACAATGTTCTGCCGAATGGATTTATATTCGGCGGTGGAGTTTTTCATTCTCGACTGCGAAAGGAAAGTGACAACTGATTTAAAAGTCAAATCTGAATATATGCAGCAAGGGTGCGATGATAGAGGCATGCCAATTATTTAGAATCTTCATTCGGGGGAGTTTTGATTTGGTGGCATGGCCAAATGTTTGTGAAGTATTCCAATACTTAGTTAAAAGGGATATTTGGTCGATTTCTTCATCCATGCTAACTCGGTGGAGATATTTGGATCCATAGTAGTTTTCTGCTAAATGAGTTTTTATTCGGCAGTAGTTTTTAGATTACTCTCGACCGATGCTCACTTGTAGGTTACAGAAATCACCGAAGTATTTGTGCTCGGTAAGGTGTTTCCAGAATGAGCTAATTCATGCGAATTAAGTTATTTGAAGTGAATTATTTGCACCTGAGAGGGTTCGGTGGAATTGAGAGTGACGTCTCTTGAGGCCGAGCTATCGAGAATCAAGTGGTCTCGGTGGATTTTCTTTCGATCGGTGGAGCATTTATATATATGCCAATGCAATTTAGCATGGATGAGGAAATTTGATGGTGGCATGCTGGTGATTTGTTTTCGCCGAGTTATTTCTGTACTCAGTGGAAGATTTCTCATTCGGTGGTTTGCCTTTTCTTGGATGTGAGAGTTCCCATTCGGTGGGCTTGCCTTTTCTTGGCATTGGATGTCAATGAGGTGGCGCTGGAAGAAATCCTAAGGTGACCCAGTTAAAGGTGATAAAACCCTAAACGCACCACCTGCCATGCGCCATGCAAATGGAGTTGGACAAAATCAAAAGTTGTCAGTGTATTCGGTGAAGGCAGTGCATGTGGAGTTTGATGGAGACATTTTTTGTTCCCCAATTTTCTTCAAGTTTTTGGACTTCAAAGAGCATCAAGAGTGTTAATTCTAGGCCGTGATTAGATTTCGGCCATTAACACATCCAAAGGCCGAAGCTTATGTCTTAGTTTCATGAATGCTCGGCTAGCATAATTTCCTTAACCATTCAGCTTACAAGCCGAAGATCAAGGAAACTGGGGGGCAATGTTTGGACCAGATTTTACTTCATCGGCTCGAGTAATCAAGACCATTGAATGGGCTGAGTTCTAGACCATTGGATGACAAATTGGTTGAGATAATTCTCAATATTATTAAAGGATAATATTATGATTTTAATCATAATGATTATCTCTTAATAGTATTGAATTATTTAGACTTACCATTATCTGGAACACAATTGGATGATAAAGCCGTAGCATATGATAATGCTCAATAAAATAAATATTGCAATTGTTGAGTAATTAACGTGGCATTGCATGGCTGCACCTGTACAAATGAGTGGAAGAGGGAGTCTTTTGTTTAGATTAGGCTACCAAGGAAGGGAAAAGCACAACATGGGCTAAAGTGCTTAGACTTTGGTAATGCATGCACTTGGACGTGAATATGGGTTTAAACATTGCATGGTTATTTAGGATGCTATGGGAAGAGTTCTGTGTGCTTGCAAATTGATCTGATTGCATGGTTATCATAAGTGGACGGCAATCATCAAAGTGTGGCTTTGCTCCCTTGGAAAAATATTCCTAGGAATATTATTTATTTCGATTGGTAGTTCAAGTCATGGCAACAATTTCACTGCGTGTTCATTAAGGCATGTCCCTATAAATACAAAGCGGCATACGACATTTTGGGATCACCTCCAACTCAACACACAAACTGTCCTGCGCAAACCCTCACTCTACACGAAACCTCTCAAACATCTTAAGATTTTTTTATTTTCTTTTTCCGCCGACACATCTTCAATTTGGATAAACAGCACTGTTGCCGTAGAGTCAGCTGACCGGGAAGCACCTTCAGTTTGGATAAACAGCATTGCGACGAGGCCGACTGGCTATCTATCCAAGTCTCTGTCGAGAAAGATTTTCAAATCCTTATTGGCAGAGGTCATCTCATTAGCCTTCTCGGCGAAGTGAGGTGTTACCAGGTTACTACATTCGGCACCCTAAGAGCCAAATTCGATATTGAACTTCACAAAACTAGCAGCCTTGTCTTCAGGCTCTAGAACCCGAAGGCCGAAAGTGTTCCTTCCTCGGTCGTAGTCGCGAGATTCAGAAGTTAGCAGCGCACCCAACGCAACATCAACATATTTTACTCCTCGGCCGAGCTCGGTCGACGAGTTGGCACGTCTGCACATAACCGAATGACGTAGTTAGCTTACTAATTATTCGACCTGCGCACCATGTAGGCTTGATAGTTTTTAGGGTCAACAACCACTTATATGATTGCGTTTAAACATTCACTTTGCATCATGGTGTGCTTATAGATTTATAGTTGCATAAACTTGAAATTTAAAAAATGTTCACCTCTACTTAATTTGTTAGAAGCTTTTTGGAGGTGTTAAAACATCAAACCATGTGGATTTCGTGTGCTAATTTCTTTGAGTACACAACCTTATCAAGTCATTGATTTTGAATTACAAAAATTAGTCAACTAAATAGTACACAACCTTATTAAGTCATTGACTTTGAATTACAATAATTAGTAAACTACATAGACTATATTAGTAAATCGCCTCAAATGAAATTACTAGGACCGAAGTGGAATTTTATGCATTTCCCTTCTCTACTCGTTCACCCTTCTTTGCTTTCTTAGCTTTTGATTAAATAAATCAAAGAAGAAAGCATCAGGAGAAAACAAGCTTGTTAAATCTCTAGCTTAACAATTCCCAAAGTTGGCGTGTTTATTCTATATCTGTTATAAGGGTGTGAACCCAAAGTCAGGATTAAAGATAAAGTCATAAACAATTAATATTCAAATAAATTGGCACAAAAATTTGAGAATAAGTGGGCAAATTTAAGTTAACATGTAATCAATTTCCCAAAAATTTCAAGGTGGTTACATGCATCACATTTTAGATTTTTGACTACATACGATATGATTTACATTAGGTAGGAAAATGAGTTAAACTTCACAATGTATTTCTTTGAAGATAATCGAATATAAAACCTCTCATTTACAAATTAAGAGTCATACTACTCAACTGTATCATAGCAGATTAGATTTACAAGTAGAGTTTAATGTAAAGATAATTATATAAACATCCGATCTTGTACTCGCACAATTTTCAAATTATATAACGTATTTTGCTTGAAATTTGCACGTGAACAAATATATATTCATATCTAGTAAGTAGTGCATTTGGATCTTTAAAATCACATGTGAAATAAAAAACTGAGAGGAACAAAAAAAGACAAATAAAATTAAAAAGGATGGGTAAGGTGAGGTAAAAGGACGAGTACTGCTAATGACTGCCTAAGCCACTGCTCTGCTTGGGTAGTGTCCACAACCACCGTACACTACGTGTCAACCCTACATTAGTTTTTCCAGTCCAAGTACCTTTTGTTGAACAAATATTTATGTTACTATTCTTAAAAGAAGGTAAAGTCAATAACAGTATCTTTAAATAAAATGTCAAAATATTTTAGGAATTCTTATTGGTAGTCTAAAAATCTCAATTAGTATTCTAAAATTTCTATAATCAGAAAGAAAAATTCTCTTATAAGAAATGTAAAATGAAAATTTTGAAGTGTTAATAATAATTTCCAATATTTAACTTAGTACTACCAGTAAAAATAGCAACAATATTTTCAATTGATAAGTCAAATTTGATGTAACGTGACATTAATTGGTAGCCAAGGTTCTAAAAAACGCTAGGCGCTAGTCGGGCGGCAGGCTAGCGCCTAGCGCCTAGGCGGATTTAAGTAATTTTTTGTATATCCTGTGAATAAGTGCATATGGACATTTACAAAGCAAGTAGAAAATGTACAAAAGAAATATTTCTTTCAACAAATGAAGTAATTCATATTTTATAATCATATGGTATACTTGAGGACAAGGCAGTGCTTGCAACCACTGAAATGTGATTTCCAATCTTATGTCCAATGAGCATTCTCATTGTTTGTAAGTATGGGAAGACTACAAATGTTGCAATAATACTCCACCATGTTGACAACGTAGTTAGAACAAAGTTGAGAAACCTGGAAACAAATTACAATGCAAGCAAAAGAAATAAACCTCACTTGATAGGTTCAAGCCATGTACATTTGAATCAAACACTAATTCATTCAAGTATGTCCGCCATTACTTCTTTTGTACTAGAACTATGGAAACATTCAAGTCCAACATTACTATGAGTCTATGACACATACATCTCACATAATCTACTATAGATGAGTCAAATGTACAAATGCTGCACTAACATTTCACATAATTAACATCAATGAGTACGAGTGATGGGCATACATTTTATAGGATATAATTAACAACAATGAGTCAAATGTTCGAATGCTACACATGCAGACACTAACAGAAAAGAAAATCAAGTTACGAAAGTTACTAGGCATCAAACTCTTCTTCACCATATCCCTCCAAGACTCTCTCTGTGTCAGACTCGAACTCAATTTCTTCATCATCTCCTTCTTCTTCTTCCATGTCCTTATCTGATATAAAGTCTTCTTCATGAAGTTCTCTTACTTCAACATTTTTAGAACTCCCCCTAGGCTCTAGGGAACTACCTACCTTTGATGTCTTTCCAATTCCTGAGCCAAGCTCAAGTTCTTCATCACCACTCTCCACAATCCATCCTTGAGCCATACTAGCTTCACTTGCAAGTAGTATGTTCACTTTCTTCTCATTCTCTCTTTTCTTCTTATTCATAATCCTTGCATTAAATTGGACATAGACTAAATTATTTAACCTTGTTGTATCTAGTCTATTCCTTTTCTTTGTATGTATACCTTCAAAAGAACTCCAATTTTGTTCACAACCGGATGAACTTGTAGTCAATGAGAGTATCTTTATAGCTATCCTTTGCAAATGAGGCACACCATTTCCATAATTATACCACCATGCAACTAATGAAGAAAAAAAGCACACAATTAGTAATGAAAAATAAGTAGTAAACTCAAATTTAATAAATAAAATATAAGCATATGTGAATATTCATACCCGAATTATAGTTTTCATTATTCTCAACGCATCCAAGTTCGGCCAAATGTCTTCCAAATCCACCTTCTTTTACTCTATACTTGTGCATCTCAACGTTTATCACTTGGTTTTGAACCTCATAGTTATCGGGGAAGAACTTCTCAACACAAGTAAAAATCCTCTCCATGACAATTGGATCATGTTGTATGCTTTGATCTTTGAAGAAATAATAAGGGTTGAAGAGGTAGCTCGTCAAATGCAATGGACTATCAAGCCGCTCACGAGCTTTTTCATCAATAATTTGAAGAATTTGTTGATAGTTGGCCTCATTGTTCTTGAATGTCTCTTTAATCTCCATCTTTGCTTTTTGTAGCTCTCCATACAAAAAGCCCATTGATGGCTTCTTGTCCCCATCTACAATTCGAAATAGCTTGAATAAAGGCTCAAATACTTTCAAGCAAAGTAAGACCCCACTCCAAAAATGTGAACTCAATATAGTAGCATATGCCGTTTTCCCCTTTGTAGTCTTGACATGTTTGCATTGTTCCCATTCTTCACTAGCAACCATAACCTTCAAGTTTTTTTTCTTATCCATCAAGCTTTGCAATGTGAGGAAAAAAGTTGCAAATCTAGTGACTTCGGGCCTTATTATGTCTCTTTTCTTGGTATGCTTCCTAATCAATGCCAAAGTTTTATGATGTGCATAAATGAAGATGGTGAAAGCCTTTGCCTTGTCAATAACTCCTTTGAACCTAGGGAGATTACCAATCCCTTGAAGCATGAGATTCAAAGTATGAGTGGCACATGATGTCCAAAACATATTCGGCCTCTTTTTCTTCATCATGTTTGCCGCCGCCATATTGTTAGAAGCATTATCGGTTATCACTTGAATCACATTTTGAGGCCCAATTTCTTCAACACACTTGTCAACATATTCAAAGATATATTCTTCGGTGTGTGCTTCACTAGAGCATTCCTTAGAAGAAAGAGATATGGTGCCTTCCTTGCAATTGACACATAAATTCATTATGCTTCTTCTTTTTCGATCACTCCAAGCATCGGTCATGATTGAGCAACCATTCAAAGCCCACTCTTCTTCATGTTTCTTGAGTGACTTTTTTACTCTTTCTAGCTCTTCTTTCAATAATGGCTCCCTTAATTCGTATTGGCTTGGAGGTAGGTAACCCGGGCCAAATTGACCAACCGCTTCCATCACACGCTTGAAGCTGTCATTATCAATAGCATAGAAAGGAATACCGGCTTCATACACCCATCGAGCCACATATTGATCCACTTGATGTGCTCTTTCCTTCCAAATTGCATCATGGATGTTTTGTTGCCAAGTCTTCTTACTTCCCTCATTTGAATAATCAGGATTGATGGCGGATGCAAACCTATCCATAGGTCCAAGAGTGCGAGGCCTTTTCCTTGACCCAATCACTTTAATGTATTCTTCTTCTTCTTGAATTTGTTGAAGTTGCACCTCTTCCCTCACTTCCACATTGTGCTTATCCCTTTGTTTCTTCTAATGCGGCTCTACATTTGGCTTTATCTTCATCCGAAAACTTTGTGCATGCCGCTACATTTCCCCTTATGTTGGCTACATGTTGTTTTAATCTATGTACTCCACCACTAATGATTTTGTTACACAACTTACATTTCACCTTATCTGTGTTTGTAGGATTTGCCAAGATCCCATATTCACATCCCACATCATCCGAGCTACGCTTCAACACATTTTCAGATTGAGAGGAGGACGACATTGCAGTAGATGCTCCAGAAGATGAAGTACCAGTCATCATACAAGAAACAATCCTAAAATTTATATAAAATAGACATTACAAACTTTTAGGTCTTAATCTCCCACAAAAAAACTATCACAGTATTTTAACTTATAAGCCAACTCAGATTGTTTTGTTTTTCTATTTTGGTCGAAGCATAACGTTTTAAAGTGAGTAAAATGGATCATGCAATGTCAAGATCAATATATCTACTGCAATGGCTCAGAACAATGCATCAAAGTGAGTAAAATGGCTCAGAGTCAGAACCCCTGCATCAAAGCTAGCAGCAAGAGCAGATAATGATATTGCGATGGGAATCCGACAAAGAATGGTGAATAAGCTAAATGAATCTTCCAAACATACACTTTAGAGAGAACAATGCACACATTCATAATTTGTTGTTTTATTTATGTGCTTAGGATCTTAAAAGAAGTATATGCAGATCAAACAATTCATTACATACGCGAAAGAAGTATCTCGCAGCAGATAAACAGCTTTCCAACCCCTGTAAATATTTTCACAACTATAACTAGTAGCACCTATAAATCACCATCCTTCTAAAGCTAATAAATTTTGACAGATTTGTAAGGCACACAGCCACACACAGCTGCAATGATCCCCATTTACTTCATTCGACTGAAGACAAAAGGCACGGAATACATAAATCCAGAACCCTACCTATTGTATTCCACATATCCAAGTCATTTCTTCACAGTCAAGTACTTTTAACAAGCCCCACCAATTCACAAACTTACTATAAAACTTGAACCTCCAGTAAGTTTGTCAATTGTTCCCCATTCCCCTACAAATATTTTGAGGTGAATTTTATGCTAACCTGGATTTTTATCCTTTGACCACATATAAAATTTACCACCTTTATAAAGATTATACATGGACATTACCTCTACATCTCTCCCACTCTCTTCAATTATTTCCAATAATTCTTTTCTTTCTTCAACTGTAACTTGTTACCGTAACCTATACATACATACCTCGTACTTTCCAGACCTTTAGCTCAATCATTCATATATGAATCATATATAGTATATACAATACGGTCACAATCTCATAAAGTCTGCCATTGCACCAAATCCTTGTGAAAACAAATGTGTCAAAACTTATAAACTTGCAAAGGCATTACCTGATTGTAGTCTCCTTGTTAAGTACTTCCCAAATTAATCTTTTAAACCGTGCCACCTCCTTACTGTTAAGGTATCCAGCAACCTAAAAAACAGAAGCATGAGTTCTTCCATATCGATTCACAAACAAAAAATAGAAGCAACAATCAATCACATACAAATCCAAATCACTATACGGACTACCGAGTGGGCTATGATGAAAATGTTCTTTGCTGGGCAGGTGGTGTAACTTTTAGGATCTCTGCTTTAATCTTTCATTAAATTCCCCCCCTTAATTATCAGACTTGGAAAATGAGGTCAACAGTCATGAACCAAGAATGAAACTTTTCACAATAACTATGAAATTAAAAGTCCAACAATGTAGCATGCAAGATTAATTCTTATTATCATCAAATATTTTGGGCACCAACCTTAAATTTATGAACGTATAGTGAATGGGCAGACACCATTCAACAAAAACAATTCAGAAAATTGAAAAAAAACAATAAGAAAGCAATGGCCACATTATTTGCATACCTCGAGCTCGGAGTCATCGATATTTGATAGGCCTTTTGAGACTAAGAGACATCGCAGGTGACGGAAGAAGAGACAAAGTGGACGAACGACGAAGTGGCTGTCGACGAGAGTTCTTGGTTTCTGAAATTAGGGTAGCTGCAGGGCATGGGAAGAAACTTAGAATCTGAATTAGAAGTTAGAATATAATAAACTTAAAAATAAAAAAAACAAAACAAAACCGCCCAGCGCCTAGGCGGCCGCCTAGGCTGTTTTTTAGAACACTGTTGGTAGCTTTCACTTTGACAGCATCTTTAAATATTTTTAATTAATTATAAAATATATTTGATTAATTTTTTATTTTTATTTTAAATGATATTTATAATAATTAATATCACAAAATAATAATTTAATTCGATACATTGGAGTAAAAAGAAAAACCATAAAAATGTCAAAGTGAGACATAAACTATAAAATTTAAATTTTATATTTAAAATTTAGGATTAAGTACCTAAAATCTTCTGACCTTTTAGTGTCATTCCAAATTGGTATTAATATTTTTAAAATTTTCAAACAAGTACCCAAACTATTGAAAATGTCACATCCGTTATGTTTCAATTGATTTTTCGGCTGATCTCCTAACAAAGAAGAGGATTAAGAATTCATATAGGGTTTTAAGCAGCTTATTTCTGCTCATGTGATTTCCTTATTCGCATATTTTTTGCTAATAAAGCTTCCAGTTCTTTTTTGTGGACAATGAAAATATGGTGGTGGCCGCATCATGGCAGTTCATACTGTTTCAGCAACCTCTGTGACCTACTCAATGTTGTCGGCTTGAGTTATATGATGGAGTTTGTGGTTGTGCGTTGGTTTGGAGGTGATGGCATGAAGGGGGTGATGGTGACCGTTAATTGGACAAAAAATTAATTGAGACTTAATGGATGTGACATTTTCAATAGGTTAGTACTTGTTTGAAATGATTAAAAGGTTGAGAACAATTTGACATGAAGGTTCTAAAAGACGCTAGGCGCTAGTAAGACGGCGGGTTGAAGCCTAGTGCCTAGGTGGCTAGGCGAGCTCCTAGGCGGACTAGACAGATTTAAGTAAATCTTTATATTTGTGTAAATAAATGTCTGCTTATACTTGAAATATATATATACTTTCATCATAAACTACAAAACAGAATGACATATATATTATGAAATATTGAAACATAATGAAAACATGGGGAATAAGGAAATAATGTGTGTTCATTTAAGTATGCAAGAAGTTTCTTACGATTTATTGAAAAAAAAATGCAAAATGAAAGTTATCTATTTTCTGTCTAAATGAGTCACAACCTAGGCGGGTGCCTAGACAGGTCTAGGTGGGCTAGGTGGGTGCTTAGGCGGTCTAGGCAGGCGCCTTAGGAAGTCTAGGCGTCATTTCTTAATTTTCAAATGCCTAGGCATTAATCGGGGTTGTGGTCAGCCGCCTAGCGCCTAGGCGGTTCTAGGCGGGTATTTTTAGAACAATGCATGACACTAAAAGGTCAAGGGATTTTAGGTACTTAATCTTGCAATCTAAAATTTGCATATTTAGAGATTTTAATGCTGATCGTAAATTTCAAATTTTGAACTTTTTATGTGACCCCTCTTTTTCTCTCTCCCTCACTGAAGGATTTTCTCTCACAAACCCTAACCTTAGCCGTCGGCCTCTCATTTTGGTTTAACTTCCTTCCCTCTTTCCTTCTTTAATTTTCTACAGTTCATTCCTTCTTTAATTTCCTTGCTTTCCATTTTGACCATGTGATTTGGTAAGTTTGCTTATGAGCGTTGTCTCACCTTGCCTTGAGCTATGTCTCAACTTCTTTGAGCTTTATCTCAGTTTATGGCAGTTCTTGTCTCAGATCAAGTTCATGATTTCTTTGGCCCAATTGTTGTTCCTTGTCGCGAATCACTGCCCATCGGCATCTGTTACTTGGCTCATTGAGTGTTTCCTCCTTGGATTACATATGGAGACATGCTTTACATTTAGGTGGCTTTTAAAGTGCAATTTACACTAATTGGTAGGATTATGAGAGCCCTCAGAGCGCAAGTGGTTCGCCACCCCTATTTTCTATTGGTCAAAAGGGTTCGTTGGTTCTTCTTCCCGATGGTGACGGTTTCACAATGATGGTGTGAGTGTGACTCTGTTAAGCGGAGGTGACTGGTCCCTTTGTTCAAGTCTATGGTTTCTTTCCTTTACGGCTGTTATTGACTCCATTATTAGGACTAGCCTTGTATTTCTTTATGTTTGAGTTGATTTGGATTGTCTGTGGACTTTCATAACCTTGTTGTAATCTTATTTTTTAATGAAATTAGCTCTGTTTAAAATAAATTATTACTCTCCTCCATCACATCACACTTCATCATTCATCAATTCACCAGTAGTGAGCCCAACTGGCAGTTTCCTTGGGCCCTACAATTAGTGGCATCTGGATCCGAACCCCACTACCATTTCCCCACGCGACATGAGTCCGAGAGCCAGTTACAACATCGTATTCGTCAGAGCCACGTGTCGGGATGGGAAGGGAGTATGTAGGCGGAGATGCAGCTGATCGTCACCCCCTTTGATGTGGGCCTTGAAAGTACAAAAGCAGCCTTTTCAGTTCTGAAACACCCGCCCAACTCTTGTACTAGCCAAGTTGCCCTGCCAGTTTTTTAATTTTATTTTTGCAAAGGGAACAGGAAACACAATGTTGACATTGGGAAAATATCCTTGCGGGATTCTTTTCTTAGAAATTTTGGAGGTTCTATTATCAGAATCGTTTATAGTATATTATGTGATTATAAATCATTTTAAACTTAAAAATTTAAAATTAAACATAAATAATACTTAACGAAAATTAACCGTACAATATATAATGAACGATTCCGATCACAGAATTACCAGGATTCCAAAGAAAGGAATCCGGCTAGGATCCTTTTCCATGACATTGTGTACGTGTTGGTGAAAGTACATTTGTGCCGTCCATGCATGCTTGACCTGTTGGAGCAATGAAAGATTCAAGAATCTCTATAGAGATATGGGGGTTGTGTCTGTCACGTTGCCCTAGACCGACTGATGGAGTGTGATCGATATGATGAGTCTGATGATGACATCATGGTGGAAAATCAAATTACCATTTATTACGCAAACACCAATCTTAATCTTAAACATTCCATTATACCAAAATTAGGGTTTTTTTTTGTTTTTGTTTTTGTTATGAATAATTCCCCATAGTCCATCTTAATCTGAACTGTCAACATTTTTTATTACCAAGTTTTGCAAAAAAAAAAAAAAAAAAAAAAAAAAAAGACTGTTTGTGTGTTTGAATCATGTCACTGATTGTGGACATTTAGATATTGGTTGTCATGAGTAGGAGAC